AAAAAACAAAAGCTCATTCTAGAGTTTGGCAGGCCCATATCCACAGTAACTCGGAGAAAGCTCCTGAGCACTGATTGAACCATTACTTTCGTGCATTTTCTTCTGAGACACTTTCTAGAAAGATGTGTATGTTATTCCTCTGTTTGCTGGGAGAAAATTAAAGGCCTAGAGACAGGAAGAGATAGAAACAGGCTGGAGCAGAACAAGAGTTAACTGAGGAAACATATGAAGTCATGAGTTCTTGAACCCTAGTCCCCTCTCCATCCTCTCTTTCAGTTTGCTATAGTGCATCTTAAGAACCCTCATGGCAATCTGAAAGGTGGCTTGCAGCTCTAGCAGCTCCAGCAGCTCCAGCTTGATAAGTCCCAAGCAAAAAATGCTGGGGAGCAACAGGTCTAGCCAAAGCAGGGACAGATACACCAGTCTCATAGATATAAGTCACTCACTTCAAGCCAATGGTTACCCTCCCCAAACCCCCTAGCACTGAACATGCCTAAAGATTAAGAGTTGGTCTAGAGCAACAGTTGTCACAGAGCATTTAAAACTCATGATTTTCACCTTCTAAATTTTGGCCAAGAGACTGAGGCAGGAAGATCACAAATTAGAGACCAGCCTCAGCAACTTAACTAGAACCCCCTCAATTAGGCAAGGCCCTGTCTTAAAATAAAAAACGAAAGGGGGCTGGAAGTGGAGCTCAGTGGTGGAGTGCTTGCCACACACAGAGGAGGCCTTGGGTTCAATCCTCAGGACTGCATAAAAATAAATAAAGTAAAGGTATTGTGTCCATCTACAACTAAAAATATAATATATATTTTTAAAAAGGGGCCAGGTCAGGTGGCAGCCGCCTATAATCCCAGTGACTAGAGAGACTGAGGCAGGAGGAATACAAATTCTAGGCCAGCCTCAGTAATTTAGCAAGGCCCTCAGCAACTTAGCAAGACCTTGTCTCAAAAAAATAAAATAAAAAAGGGTAGGGATGTGGCTCAGTGGTAAAGCCCCTCTGGATTCAACCCCCAGTAGCAAAATAATAATAATGATAATAATTAATTAAAACAACTAGGGATGTAGTTTGGTATAGAACATCTCTGAATTCAATCCCCAGTACTTAAAAATAAATAGATTTGAGCTGGGCGCAGTAGCGCATGTCTATAATCCCAGTGGTTGGGGAGGCTGAGGCAGGAGGATCCTGAGTTCAAAGCCAGCCTCAGCAAAAGCAAGGTGCTAAGCAACTCAGTGAGAACCTGTCTCTAATAAGATAGGGCTGGGGATGTGCCTCAGTAGTCAAGTGCCCCAGAGCTCAATCCTGGGACCAAAATAAGTAAATAAATAACTAAGTAGATTTTTGGCAAAGTTTAACAGCCAAATAAGGATGCTAATTAAAGATTGCTTCCCCCCATACACACACACAGAGGTTAAAAAAAAGGTAAGAAGTAGTAAGAAAAGGATGTGGTCAATATTATAAGCATATAAACAGCTCTATAAAGTAATAAAAAGAGGTAAACAACTTCATAAATATAGACTAAGTATATGAATAGGCAACTCATAAAAGAGTAACTGTCAAGGGTAAAAAGATAGATAGATAAAGAAAGAAAGAAAGAAAAAAAGAAGCTCAAGGGCTGGGGTTGTGGCTCAGTAGTGGAGCACTCGCCTAGCACATGTGAGGCTGTGGGTTCGATCCTCAGCACCACATTAAAAAAACACATAAAATAAAGGTATTGTGTCCAACTACAAATAAAAAACAAATATTAAAAAAAAAAAAAGATGCTCAACCCTTTAGGCAAATGCAAGTAGTTTAGGCAAATGCAAGCTAAAACAAGGAGATGCCATTTATTATCTAACATAGTGGCAAAAATTAGTAAGAATAATAACATATTTTTTTTAAAGAGAGAGAGAGAATTTTAATATTTATTTTTTTTTAGTTTTCAGCAGACACAACATCTTTGTTTGTATGTGGTGCTGAGGATCAAACCCGGGCCGCATGCATGCCAGGCAAGCACACTACCGCTTAAGCCACATCCCCAGCCCTAATAACATCTTAATGCAGAAGAAAATGGAGCAAGTTTGGTGAAGGACTCAGGGACTTTCAATTATTGTTGGTAGAAATGTGAATGATTATAACCTTTAATATATAAGGATATATGTACCAGGATTGCAACACCATTTGTAATAGAAAAAAGGTAGAGTAACTTGAAGGTCTATCAACACCAATTATGGTAATTTATTCAATTTACCTTTGAATAAGTTGTGCACATTCATTCTATGGACTATTTTGCCACAACTAAAGTTGGGACTGGGAGTATAACTCAATGGTAGTATGTTTAATATGCCCAAGGTCCTAGATTCCAGTCCTTGTATGCACATATAAAAAGATCTGTATTCATCAAACTGGATAATACTATGATGTAAGCTTAAGTGAAAAAAGTTGCAAAGTATATATCATGTATTTTGAAATAACTAAAAATCCTAAGTACTTACATATAAGTGTATCTGGATACATATAGAGTAAGATGTGGAAGCTTACAGACTAATTTGTTAATATTAGTTCTTTTTTTTTTCTTTTTTTAATTTTTATTGGTTGTTCACAACATTACAAAGCTCTTGACATATCATATTTCATACATTAGATTGAAGTGGGTTATGAACTCCCAATTTTACCCCAAATGCAGATTGCAGAATCACGTCRGTTACACATCCACAATTTTACATAATGCCCAATTAGTAATTGTTGTATTCTGCTACCTTTCCTATCCCCTACTATCCCCCCCCCCCCCCCCTCCCATCTTCTCTCTCTACGCCATCTACTGTAATTCATTTCTCTCCTTGTTTATTTTCCCATTCCCCTCACAACCTCTTATATGTAATTTTGTATAGCAATGAGGGTCTCCCTTCATTTCCATGCAATTTCCCTTTTCTCTCCCTTTCCCTCCCATCTCATGTCTCTGTTTAATGTTAATCTTTTCTTCCTGCTCTTCCTCCCTGCTCTGTTCATAGTTGCTCTCATTATATCAAAGAAGACATTTGGTATTTGTTTTTTAGGGATTGGCTAGCTTCACTAAGCATAATCTGCTCTAGTGCCATCCATTTCCCTGCAAATTCTATGATTTTGTCATTTTTTACTGCTGCATAGTACTCCACTGTGTATAGATGCCACATTTTTTTTATCCATTCATCTATTGAAGGGCATCTGGGTTGGTTCCACAGTCTAGCTATTGTGAATTGTGCTGCTATGATAATATTAGTTCTTAAAGAGGGAAGAATAAGGAAATTTTTAATCTTTTCTTTATATTATCTATATTATTTCACTTGTGATAGTGAACATGTAGTACTTTTATAACATTTTAAAAAATGACTGTATTAGCCTGGTACAGTGGTGCACACCTGTAATCCCAGCAGTTTGGGAGGCTGAGACAGGAGAATCATGAGTTCAAAGCCAGCCTCAGAAATTTAGTGAAGCCCTAAACAACTCAGTGAGACCCTCTCTCTAAAAAAAAAATACAAAAATAAAAAAAAAGAGCTGGGGATGTGGTTCAGTGGTTGAGTGCCCCTAAGTTCAATTCCAAGTACCAAAACAAACCAAAAATCTACAGTACTAAAAGAACATTGCAAAGGGACTTGGGATATAGCTCAGTGCAAGGCCCTGGATTCAATCCCCAGCACTGTAAAAAAAAAATATAATAATACAAACAAAAACAGTTCAAAATATTTGAGGAGGAAAAAAAAAAGGAAAGGTGCCAAAGAGGAAACTGATAGATACAACATATATGAACCTTGAAAGCATAATACTAAGTGAAAGAAACCAGTTTCAAGGGAACACATAGTGTGCAATTCCATTTCTATGAAATGCCCAGAATAGGTAGATCCAGAAGTGACTGTTAATTGGAAAAAGTTTCATTTGGAAGAATGAAAATGTTCTAAAAATGATTGTAGAAATGGTTGAACATCTCTATGAATAAACTAAAAAAAACTACTTTAAATGGGTGTCTCAAAAATGTGTTTAAAAATACTGTCCACTATAACATCTGCCTCATCCTCAAGAAATAAATCTTGATATCTTTTAATATAATCTGAAGAATGCATCAGGGACTCTCAAGGCAATTCCAAAAATGGAAATCAGAAATGTATCATAGTTCTAAAGGAACTATTTTGAAGAGGATATAGTTTTTGGATGTGTAAATTCTCCTATGTTTATAAAATATTTCATATAACTTATAAAGTTCATTATGAAATGCATAACGAATACACTGAATCACATTTTAGAGCCCTAATTTTCCTTCCTTCTAAAAGAGTACTTAAATTTATGTATCTTCTGATTCACTTACCTTATGATTCTTGTGACCAATTTGCTACAGAAACCACTTCTTAAATGCTTTTCAATGTACATTGAATACACCACAGAAAGGCAAAATAAAGAAAAATAAAGGGTCTGAAAATATTTTTTCAAGTCTCAAATAATTGGTTAGCACCAACAAGGCAAATTCTTCTTACTGAAACACGTTTTTAAGTAAAAAAAAAAAATTAAAATTGAATTTTTTTTCTGTACAGAAAAAATAGAAACATCCATCCAACTGCACTGCAATGAGATAATTCGTTTCTCAAAGCAATGAAAAAAATAGCAGATATGAACTATCAAACCATCAGTAGTACACTTTTATTTTCAAATTAAAATAACAATATATGAAGTGCATCTTTGAATGGGAATGTGTGCTTGCGTTTTCTTCTAGGAGACTCTGGCGAGTGTTTGCACCAACAGCGCCGCTGGTGTAGTGGTATCATGCAAGATTCCCATTCTTGCGACCCGGGTTCGATTCCCGGGCGGCGCAGGCATTCTTTTTGCTCAAGAATGTCTTAAAAGAATCTTCATAAATCTTTCCTGTAGTGAAAATACTTAGAATTTTTAATTACCCTGAAGACCTCCATTTCATTATAATTCACTGATGAAACATTCGGATCTGGAGCTAACCGACAGTTTACGAAAGTTTTGAAATAGTTAAGCTTTGCGCCTGCGCAATCCGAGCCAACACGAGTCGGGTGAAAGAGCGGCTGCGCAACAAGTGAACCTACGGATTGAGGTGTAGCCCCGCGCCGCGAGGGTGAGAGTGCAGGGTCATTCTGCGCCTGCGCGGTCTGGGTCACTTCGCTGGCTGCTCCTAGGCGCCCGGCTCGCCGCCATCTTGAATCGGGGCTTCATTGTTCGCGCTGTGCGGGGCAAATCGGCGTAATTACCGCGGAAGAAGACGGCGAAGTAACCTCTGCTCAGCCGAGAAACCCCGCCATCCCGCAGCCATAGCCGTTCATACGATTTGGGAGGTAGTGAAGGGCAGGGAGCTGGACCCAGAGGCGCCGCCGCGACAGCAGCAGCCATGGAGGACGAGATGCCCAAGACTCTGTGAGTCTGGAGCAACGATGAGGGAGGCGGGATGGTGGTCGTCCCGGAGGGAGGCCTCGGCCCTGCGCCGCTCCCCAGCCTATTGTCTCCGTGGACGCCGCGATATCGTGGTTCCTCTCTCCTTAGCACACACCTGGATGCTTAGAGCCAAGACCCGGGCTGTGAGAGGACGAAGTGGAGGGACTGGGGGTCGACCCTCAGAATTAATCCCTTCGCCTTAACTGCACCAGCGCGCGGCCTTTGGCCTCGCCGCCCGCCCTCTGGGGTCCTTAGACCTGGAGAAAAGACTTTTTCATTCAAACCTCTCTTTAGAACTCGGCGGACCCTCCTGTCGTCCCATGCTTGCTTGCTTCTCTTTTTTTTTTTTTTTTTCCCGCCTCCCCCCCCTGTAATTAACCTCTTTATATCTTTTCAGACTTCCCTTTCATTTTATTTTTCTCCTGAAACTCCTCCTTTCGTTTTCTTCTCGTTGGTAGGAATTTTTTTCCCCCATCTTGAGGCTGAGGTAAACTTTATTCTCGCAGTTGCCAACTGGAAAAAAGCCAAATATCTTTCTTTAACCTCTCTTTGGCTTTTCTTCTGTAGCACCCCCGACCCTCGACCAAAAAGCCTAACCGGACCACCCAAGGATTTTGAAACTGCTTTTCTAAAAAAAAAAAAAAAAAAAAAAAATGGAAATCTCACCCAGAGGAATATATCTACTGAGGGAAAGTGGATCTAATACATCTTTATAATCGCTTGCTACTCTGGTGATTGACATGTTGCCGATCAAGCAGGCAATTTTTATGAAGCAACAGTTGATTATATAACGTATTTAGGCAAGAATTTTTTAGTATTAAGTGATCCGAGCTGGGGATATTTTCTTTGTCCTGTAGTTCCCCCCCCCCCTGCATTCTTTGTTTTCAGAATATTAATTGGATGAGCGATCCTGCCTTTGTTGCATTTCTGGGGGGGGGGGGGGAGGAAAAGCTCATTGAGATATGTTTTGGATGTTTACTTTATTGTGTGAATTTGAGGTTTACAAATAATGTTTAATATGAAATACACAGAGCAAATTGGTTACCCCAGTAAAGCCGACTTAACATATTTATCATCTCACATAGTTAACTTTTCAGTGAGTTCCTGACATGGCTTTTTGTTTTACTGTTGGATACTGGCAGTTTGAGAGCTCAATGCATTAAAAATACAATTTTAGGTTTCTTTTCACAACTCTAGATATTAAAGTTCTGAACTAGAGAGTTGTTTTTTTCACCAAAATTTTTTGAATTCTAAATTGTTATTTCTTATATATATGGGAAATGTTGTTACATTTTACATTTCTTTTTTAAAACTTATATTTTTATTTATTTTATTTTTTTGCAGTGCTCAGGATTGTACCCAGAACCTTGCACATACTAGGCAAATGCTCTACCACTCAGCTAAATCCCCAGACTTATTTTCTTAATAGGTTAAATATTCTGCTAGTTTATGGGTATCTTTTTATAAGGATGCAGCAATTAGGGAATGGACTTTGCTTCTGGAAAGTTTGTATCTACAGAAGAACACTCCCTAAAAACCTACTAGACTTTTTTTCCTCTTAGATCTTAGCTAGAAGCATGATAGCCACATATTGGATTAAGCACTGCTCATATTTTATAATGCCTTTACATTTACGATTCTTACATTATTTTGAAATTTTTTAATTTCAGAAACTGCCAGGAATATATGGGAACTTAACCTTTTTAGTACGTTGATTTGGGAATATCAAATAATGAAGACAACTTCAGCAATCTCAGGCCAGTCTACAAAAGCAGGTAGTTAAATAGTACTAGACTGGGGACAGGGGGCTAATCATTGCAGGAGAAATAATAGTTTTATTAATTCACAGAGAGTCATTAAATGCTTAGTATGTGCCAGGCTCTGTATTAAGTGCTTTAAATGCTCTTTTAGTACTCATCTGAACATTAAAATAATTTATTCCATTTTGAAGCCAGAAAAAGCAAAATTAGAGTCTAATTAACTCACCCAAGATCATATACCTTTTTATTCCTCATCCTGCACTTCGACTGTCTTCAGCTCTTAACCATTACACTAATGACTGATTTTGCCTTGAACCTCTCATTAGAACACCCCATTTAAGAATCTTTTTTTGCTCGAAGTAGTCCTATTATCTTCTCACTTGCTTCTGTCTCCCTCAGCCAAAATCTCTCATTTTTCCAGTTACACCAATCTTGGTTAAATATGGGTAGGCACTAATTCCTAAGTTTTCCCAGCAGCATTCTTACTTTTAATGTTTGCTTTCATGACTCTGGAACTTATAATATGTCAGGGGTTTTTAATATGTTCTTGGCACAGCATCTGGTCCATGGTAAGTGATTTAATAGATTTGTTTTAAAATGTGATACAGTTCAAGAAGAGAATCAAGATTTTACTCATTTGAGAATAAAATAGTCTGAATTCTAATACAACCTGTGTTCCTAAATGGCTTAGAGGAAATATCCATTTGCCACATCTCAGTGGTCAGCATCACCGTGTTAAATTTGAGATTGCCAGTATTCATCTTTCTCTCAGCAGTACTTTGGAAACACATTGTAAGAAAAACATTCTTAAAGATTTTCCTGCAAGACTATTTTGAGGAGTGTTCAAAGTAATTAGTAATTCAGACATTTGTAGTGAGTGGATGGGTTATATTTACATACTATTATTCTTATGTGTAAATTTGAAATTGTCCATAATGAAAAATAAAAATGTGTATAGTGAATCTGAATTGGCCTTGGTCACTTTGAAAACTTTAAATTTGTGAAATAAAAGCGACACACTAAACTATAAAAACATTGCTGGTGTTAATTGCTGGAAGTTAATTCCTTTAGATCCAGGCACTTTAATGTCCTCTGAGTGATTTACTCTCAAATGCATTTTGATATAGCTATACAGTTACTGTATGGCTTTGACATTATTAACAATGTAGATCTCTTTAAAAGCCCTCAGCTAAATAATTGCTGTCTAATTATTACTAATGAGGGCCTTGCCTTTCCATCACCCCATGCATCTTTCTTATTTCTACACCACTCTTCTCCAAACACTTTTGTAGAAGGAAATAACTCTTTTTTGTTGAGTTCAGTTGGCTTATTCATTCTTAACTAGTAAGGTGAGACTGAAGGAAAGTTTGACTAAAATGAGAATTTTAGTTATTGGATAATACATTGTTTCTGAAGAATGGCCATGAATCCTTGTAATCCCAGCAACTCAGGAGGCCAAGGCAGGAGGATTCCAAGTTTGAGGTCAACCTCAGTAATTTAGCAAGACCCTATCTCAAAAAACTAAAAGGGCTGGAGATGTGGCTCAGACAAAAAAAAAAAAAAAATTGACAATGTGCTACAAACATATTCATTAGTAATATTTGAGAATGTAACTCGTGGCTATCACTGTTCTAGGAACTGGAAACACATAGATCTTTTTAGAACTTACATAAATAATTGTTAGGTGGTAATTAAGTTCTATAGAGAAAAATAATGCAAGATAGGGAAGATAGAGTGGAAATTATAGAGAACAGTAAGGAAAAGTCACCGTGAAGGGAGAACTGAAGAAGGTGAGGGAGAACTATGCATATATCTGAGGAAGGGGCACTGTAGAAAGAGCTGGTGGCCCATGGTGAGGCATGCTTGTTGCAGAAACTGAAGAGATAGGAGAGAATTAGGAAATGTGGTTAGAATGATGTGAGGGGAGAAGGGGTTATTAGGGGAGGTAGAAGATAACAGATCATATAGGGCCCTATGAGGGCTGTGTCTTGGAAAAAAAGTGGTAAGGGAAGCAATCAGAGGATTTTAAGCAAGGGAGTGATATAATCTGTTTTAACCATTGAAAGGGCAGAGTCAAGTAGACTAGTATAGTTCAGTTGAGTGACCAAATGGTGATTTAAAAAGTAATACTAGTAGAATGATGAAAAGTAGAAGGATTTTGAATATGTCTTGAAAATCTAGCAGCAGAGATTATCAGTGGATTGAATGTGTTATGTGAGAATGACACCAACGGTAAGTGGATTTATTTAGAAGTGTATATCAATCTAAAATGTTTGCTGAATAAGTAAAAATGAATGCCATTTTGAGAGCATGGATATCCCTTAAGATGTCTTCAATTTTAATATTAGATACATTTGTTCAATCTGGTTTGTGTGTATGGCCGCACAAACCAACTGAAAGAATTACTAGCTAATAAATAAGATAGCTTCCGCAATGTGTAACAGACTATCCTTTGTGAATTGTTTAATAATAGGTTAGGATGCTGACATGGTGTATATATACACATTACAGGTTTGTTTAGGTTTTTTTTAGAGAGAAAATTTTTTTAATATTTATTTTTTAGTTTTCGGTGGACACAACATATTTTATTTTTATGTGGTACTGAGGTTGGAACCCAGCACCCCACGCATACCAAGCAAGTGCGTTGCCGCTTGAGCCACATCCCCAGCCCATCTACAGGTGTTAATTAGAAAATAATTGTTTCCCCTGTTAACTTTAGTAACTCGGGCAAAATAATTTCCTAGCAAATTGCAAATGTTCTGAAGTCATCTAGAGAGTATAGTTATTCAGCAAATATTTATAGAGTACATAGCAATGTTCCAGTCAGTGTTCTATATAGTGTATTTCCAGTCTGAATTTTTAAAATCCGTACTCTTATGAAATTTATCATTAAGTTAAAACTTACTTATCCATGCTTTTTTACTCATTTTCACGGGGATTTCTTTATTAAATTCTCCATTTTAATGATTATGGCTAGAAACAAACCCATTCTGCTTTGTACATTTTCTTTGTAGGTTAATTGTCTAGAGCTTGTATTAATAAAAAATGAATATTTTAAGTGTTCTTGGATTCCAGTTTTGTAACTATTCGACTTAGTTACCAACTTGTGTATTAAGATAATATGAAATTCTATCCCTGGCAGAGCTGTCATGTGGTCACTAGTAGCAGTGATGACTATTGATTCTACTTCTCAGGTATTATTTATTTTGAGAAATTAAAAAA